TCCTCCTCACTGCACCAGCAGTTTACTGCACCTCCATAGCCTCATCACCTGTCTCCTTTCTCCTTGTCCGCTTTTTCACAGGCTTCTCCCTTGCCACTTTTGTGTCAACACAATTCTGGATGAGCTCCATGTTTTCAGCTCCAGTAGTTGGCACTGCTAATGGTGTTGCAGCCGGCTGGGGCAACCTTGGAGGCGGGGCAACACAGCTTATCATGCCCCTTGTTTTTTCTGTCATCCGTGACCTTGGTGGAGTCAAATTTACAGCTTGGCGAATTGCATTCTTCATTCCTGCCCTGTTTCAAACATTATCAGCTTTTGCCATTCTGATCTTTGGCCAGGACTTGCCTGATGGGAATTATCAGAGGCTGCAGAAATCTGGGAATAAACAAAAAGATAAATTTTTACGCGTCTTCTACCATGGTATCACAAATTACAGAGGATGGATCTTGGCTTTGACTTATGGATATTGTTTTGGGGTGGAATTGACAGTGGATAACATAATTGCAGAGTACTTTTATGACCGATTTAATCTGAAACTCCATACAGCAGGTATTATTGCCGCAAGCTTTGGTTTAGCAAACTTGTTTTCACGACCTGCGGGAGGTATAATCTCAGACATGATGGCAAAGAGGTTTGGAATGAGGGGTAGGCTGTGGGCTTTATGGGCAGTGCAGACTTTGGGAGGAGTGTTCTGTATCATACTCGGGCAGGTTGGATCTTTGAGCGCATCTGTGGTAGTGATGATTATTTTCTCTGTCTTTGTCCAAGCTGCTTGTGGTCTTACATTTGGAGTGGTTCCTTTTGTTTCCCGGAGGTAAGATTTCCACATTTTATCCACTCTAACACTATACTTCTCAATAATTTAAGCCTATTTCTTTTAAACCTCCGTAATTCTTAATTTTGCATCAGGTCCTTGGGTTTCATATCTGGGATGACAGGAGGAGGTGGAAACGTGGGTGCAGTTTTGACACAATTAATTTTCTTCAAAGGATCCCAATATTCTAAAGAAACTGGAATTACTCTCATGGGTGTCATGATTGTATGCTGCACCCTCCCAATATTTCTAATATACTTCCCACAATGGGGAGGCATGCTTTGTGACCCATCCTCAGAAAAGATTGCCACAGAAGAAGACTACTACTTGTCTGAATGGAGCTCAAAAGAGAAGGAAAGAGGTCTACATCAGGCAAGCTTGAAATTTGCTGATAACAGCAGAAGTGAAAGAGGCAGAAGGGTACACTCTGCAGCTATGCCTTCTACAGATACTCCTACAATTGTTTAGCCAATCCCACAAGTTTTCCCACTATCTTTTAATTTAATGTATTTTTGTCTATATTTCTTATGCCGAAGTATTATCACGAGCAGGTTAATGGTCGCAAGTAATCAAAGTTGCAATAGAAGACATTTGCAAGTAATCAAAATCACTTTAAAACTCTAAGCTCACTTTGGGTTTCTTTGTCTTTTTCTTTTCCCTTTCTGATTTGGGTTCTGGTTCTCTCCCTTAATATATTTTAAACCATTTATCCTAGCTATTGTATAGGATTTTCATTAGCTGAAAAGTTTCTTGTGAACATCATCAAATCCATTTATTGAACTTGAAAAGCTAGAGATATTAACTCTTTATAAGCTTAACAAATATATATGACTAGTTGAACTAATTTACCTTAAAATATTATGGACCTAAATTTAAGAATATTATGGATATTCAATCATAGAGAAAGAGATAATCCTCCTCAGTAACAGATGAGTCTTCCTAATGGGTCAGGTTAGGGGTTTATAGTTCATAAGTTTCCTAATCTATCTATTTCTGATTGGCAATCAAAGTGGTCATTTCACTAGTGACACCAAATCAAATTAAATGTTAGATTAGTTTAAAATCTTATACATAATTAAGTGACAAACATAAAAGTTCAAGGCAACGACCAATTCTCGCCGATTTGGAAGATAGGATCTTGAGATAGCTACATTTAAGATAAAAGAAAAACCCAGAAACCCAATAATCCATGAAAATACAAAGAAAACGAAATGCTATAGAAGTTATATAAGTCAGCCAAAACCTTTCGAGAAAAAAAATATATTACTTGTTTATTTCAAATAAATTTGTCAATTTTAATTACGAGAAGATAACACGATACAAAAATTATACAAAAAAAGAAAAAGTGATTATTTAAAATTTTAGAAAAAACTATATATAAGTTTAATAAAAATAAAAAATGTAATTCACGTTAAGCATGTTTATACGAATTTGACACAACAATTGTCATGTTTTACATGTTTTTGATATAAAATAAACACAACATAAATACATAAATTCTCAGGTCTAATATGACTGTAAGTACTATAGTTTATTAAAAGCCACGAAATTATAGTTTAAAACTAAGAAGAACTACATGAGCCAAGTTCTCTATCAGGTGGCAGTTCCAGGGACGAATGAGTCGGCTTATGTTTGGTTAATTTCTGGAGGACATTGAACTATAATTCTTGTAAAGCTTGTTTGGAGACTGCATCTGCATCAATATTAGGATATTGCTTGCCTTGGTCAGAAGGATGGGCACTCAACACTGGCTGTTTCATTTGGTACTTGACACGGATTTCCTCAATAAAGAAACAGGAACTGGAATTTCAAGAGGTAAAGAATTTTTTCTATTCATCATTTGTCACATACTATCATGTTAGTTAATTAGTACATTTTGGTTTCATTATATACTTTCCTGTGTATTTTCAGTTCCCTGGTTATTTTTTATATGGAATTGTTTATCTGAATTATTAAATTACATGGATTGTTACAATATTTCCTTCTTGGAATTGTGGTGAGGGAAGTTTTTTAATGGCATTGTACCGATTCCAAATTTGTTACCTAGTTTTCTTTGCATTTCAGGTTCAAATCATGCAGAAAATTTGGTAAAATATCTTCATGATATAAACATAAATTTCAAGTACTCTACACTTCAGAGGGCTACAATATCTTTCACCGATGCGAACAAGCTTGGGCAAGAAGGATTTGGGACAGTTTATAAGGTAGTTTTTCCTCTGATGTCCACTGCTCTTCTTTGGCATCTAACCAATGTGTTCTGGTCACAGATTTTATTTATCGTCTGTAGGGAGTTCTACCTGATGGAAAAGAGATTGCTGTCAATATGCTTTTCTTCAACAATCGACACAGAGCAGCGGATTTCTGCAATGAAGTGAACATTATAGGCAGCGTGGTGCATAAAAACCTGGTCAGATTGTTGAGAGATTTATAAAAGCTAGCAATATCTTGTTGGATTCAAAGCTCCGTGCTAAAATTGCCGACTTTGGGTTGGCAAGTTCTTCCCAGGAAGATCAGAGTCACATCAGCAATGCCATTGCTGGAATGCTGTAAGGATCACATTATATCTGTTTGTTCCAAACATGATTTAACGTTTAACACATTTAAAAGCTTCTCAGATTGGCTCACACGAAAATCCAATTCAAGAGCATGTGCACTAGAAGAGTAAAATTTGTTTTTCAAATGTCTATTTCTTAAATGCTTGAACAAGTAATAATTTCTATTTCTAAAATCCAGAGATATATGGCTCCGGAGTACCAAGTCCATGGCTAGTTAACAGAGAAGGCGGATGTCTATATTTTTGTTGTGTTTTTATCATGGGTGGAGCAGACGTGTAAACACTTTCAATTAGGGATCATGAAGGAGATTTATGGCCTAAATCTAATGTTACATAATAACAACCATAGCAGCAACGTTAATAATGAGGTTTTCTTTTTGGATGAATGAGTTTATTCTTTTTTTCATAAGGTAGCAAAGGGTTCTGCTACAAAGAATTGTTTACAAGGATGAATCAAGCATCAAGGAAAACAAATAATTAACGAATATTTGCATATGAAGGTCCCAATTCAAGCATAAACTCTGGTTAATAGCATTGTCAGCAAAATGTTGAGTATTATGCAACCGAAATCTTCTTGTCTCTTTGATAAAGGTCAGAATACTTGCATTTGTGCCACTTTGCTTACCGATTACTCTTTTGTTCCGTTCCATCCAAACAGCATAAATGAAAGAATTCCAAGCACGTTTAAGGATAATGGCTGAAAGAGACTTACTTTTCAAGATACTTTTTTTTCCCAATGAAACTCACGGTGCCAATTAATCACCAGACGATGGATTCTACAGAGAGACAATACTTGCATCTATATCTGTTTGGTGAAATCACAGGTGAAAAAGAGGTGCTCTTTTGTCTCGATTTCTTGGTTACAGAATGAGCAATTCTGATTAGTAATAATATCCCATCTGCTTAATCTTTGTTTAGTGGGCAATTTTTCTAAAATAGCCATCCAGGAGATAAAAGTGCGTCTAGGGATATGGTATCTAAACCAGATTTCCCTATGCTAGTCAACTTTCTCGTGCTTGTATCAAATTTCATTCTGAGTACTGCTAGTGCACTACCTATTCACTGAATTCAGCCATAGTACTCTCATTGGGGAAGCGTACAAAACTGAGCACAACATGTCGCAGTCTGAGTAGTTTTTCTCGAATTCCCGCTACTATTTTGTGACGGAAAGATGTTCCAAATATTCTTGTCTTTGAGATAAATGCATATTGGACTTCTTTGTGCCTAAGAGATTCCGTCTCTAAGACCATCAAAGTCGAAGGTACTACAGATGCTAACTAAGAAAGACGAAGACCTCCCTGCACCAACTAATCCCTACTCTTATGGATGAAAGAAATTACGGAATTCAATGACAATTGGAACAAATACTATCCCCTCAATGCAGCGTACACTGATTCAATTGCCACTGTCACCCACAATTCCTTTCACGCAAAATGATCTTTAGAATCAGGTGGGATGAAAGGAGTATATCTGACATAGAACAGCACTTGAAAGTTTGATAGGGGAAAAGCTTCAATACAAAACATTGCATAATGCACAAAAACTTTTGACTTGCTATGAAATTTTTTTGTTGATTTATAACTCAGATCATTTTAACATTCATAGGAGCAGATTAATTTCTCAGTCTTCAAAGTACGCAGCCTCTACAATAGATAAAGTAATCCCTATATGTAACCTTAAGAAGTACATAAAAAGTATGATATGGCAACTTTGATGCAAAACTAGAGCATTATTATTTACTATTGATTTGTCAGTTATACAGAGACGAAAATAAGGATTCAGTTTAACAACCTTCATGGAAAAACCATACCATATCCCCAGAACATAAGGTCTGCATTTAGATAATGTTTGGAAATTCGTTGACAACAGAATGCTTCTTCATCAACAAACAAATTGAAAACTGCAAGAAAAGATAATGCATGAATTTTCATTCATCGTGTGGCAACCAAGTTCCCCATGAGGCCTCCACCAATCTCATAATGTCTGGCATAGGAAAACCCTGCATCTAAGGCAAGTTTCTCCAATTCCTTCCCTACAACATAGGACAGACTATTTAGTCCAAAGCCAATGTTGAACTACATCCTCCCTAGACTTCAGATTATTTCTGGTTCTGCATTCAAAGCCCCATTACAGTTTGCAACAAATCAAAATCTCAATTTTTTCAGCTTTCTGCGAAGTAATACAAATAGATAAACCTATTTTGGAGAAAAGCATTATTGCATAGTTTGGTGTGCAGATAGAATAGTTACGTTCCAAAGAAAAACACCTGGTCTACAAAGAAAATCTGACTAAGAAAACCTAAAATGAAAATTAAACTTATATAGATCTAATAGGCACCTCAATTACGATAATCTATAAGTTATAAATATCTACTCTAAACAATATTAAACAAAATTAGATCTCCAAGAATGAATTTGCTGTGACCATGAAGAAAATAAAACATTGCTGAAAGGAATAATTAAGCAAGAATAGCTATAGCCTATTGAAGGATAACGAACCTGTTAAAAATTCATTGATTGAAGTTTTCAAATACTTGTACTCCTTGGCAAGGCCATAAACTGTAGCCGTAGGAACTACTACATTATCAATCATCCATTCCTTTCCAAAAGCAAAATTTAACATAAATTTAGTTTCTGATTCAGTCGCATATTTCAGTATTGAACTTGATGTGCTACAGGTGCAATATTTCTCCATTGAACTTGATGTGCTACAAGTGCAAGGTTATCCAACACAGAATGATATTCACCACTATCCATAACTCTTTGCAACATTCACAAAATTCATAAAGGTATCTATGAAGTTGAGGCAGTGGTATAGAACCAAAAATGAAGGCACAATGGTGGCTGCTACCTGAAACAAGGCAGTAAATGGCTGCGTGCTTTTATTAAAGTCGAGAATTGACACCCTTGACCCTGAAACAAAAGCAAAATTTAGAACACTCTCATCAAGCTATGGCTACAATTTAATTAAAAAAGAAAACCTAATTATCAACAGGAGAAAATGAAGATTGACAATAGTCTATAGACCTGGCTTTAAAACTCGAAACATCTCCTGCATGGCTCGACGTTTATCAACCACATTACGTAGCCCATAACCCATAGTAATAGCATCAAAGTAATCATTAGAAAACGGCAAATCAAGTGCATCACCTTCAACCCATCTGGATTCAATTCCAAACACATTATCTCATGACATAACAAAAAAAAACTTGTAATGATTTTAGACCCAATTATAAATAACTTTGCAACAATTCACCAATGGCCCCCATTTTATAAAAAGAACATTTTCATTTTCTTAAACATTGGTTGTTAGATAAGAACTACTAGTTAGTTAACAACTAAGATTTACCAGTGCTCACTCAATGTTATTGTAGCAAGCCTTTGAAAGAAAGTATTGCCTTGATGATGCAATTGAGAGCTGCTCCTTCGAGAAATCAAGGCCAGTTACCTACAGGTTTACCAATTCAGATATCATTTCTCTTTTGCTACATTAAATCCAAAATACCAATAAATAGTAACAATGGTAATAAACACGTTAAACAAACACACTTTGCCGTAGGAACCAACTTTCTCGGACAATAGGAACGTTAAATCCCCGCTTCCACAGCACAAATCCAAGACGGAATCTCCCGTTTTGGCCCTGTTTCATTACTACTTGTATTAAAATTCCACGAAACAAAGAAGCAGAAAAAAGCGAGAATTTTGAATACCTACCCACTCCAGGATACGGACATGCGTTTCCATATTCGGTGCTGACCGAAACTCAGCAAATCATTTAACTGCAATTTGTGTCCAACCCAAAAACAAAAATGACAACAAGAAGAGGAAGAAGAATTGGCAAATAAAGCGATAGAGAGGACGAATTCGGTTTACATTATCATAAACAGGAGCAATGCGGTTAAAAAGATCCTGGCGCTCGGTAGCGCAGCGAACCGGACGGCGTTTGAACCGGGAAGCAGCTATGTGCGGAACTGAGAGTTGAAGAGAGGCCATTTTTCCTTGCCAAGGTTTCTGAATTCCAATGTGTATCCTCTTTATAATTACATTACATTTTGATTACTAAATTAGTAAAACGCCGGGAACAACTAATCCAGCCCATTATTATTTGGGCTTCAGTTCAAACCTACCCCATCATCGTCTCGGATACTTGGGTTTTTGTCTACACTCTTCTGTCTGCCCATGCAATTGCATATCTAATACTATTACGTTAATTATCATAATAACTTGATATTTTTTAAAAAAGTAAGAGAAAATTGAGTAAAATATTTAACATGACTAAATTTTATATATAAAATAATATTTTAAATAGCAATTTAGAAATATAATAAATAATAAATCCATTTTCATCAGCTAAAATTTTCCTCATATTCATTCTTTTATATATATTATAATAAATTCACTCATTACTGAATTAGGTTTTTAACTTCAAAATATTTTATATATATATATATATATATATATGTATATGCACTCATCTTTGTTCTAAGTTCTTCTCGATGAAATTGTCAATTAATTTCTGGTCTAGTTTCTATGAGTTTATATTTTGAACATTTAATTAATGGGACAATCACACATAAGGAGAGAAAAAATATATATTTTTATTAATTTAAGTTTATTTGGTTTATTTTTTGTTATTTTGTTTTGCAAAAAAAAAAATGTAACAATATCAATCAAATGAATTTTTAAAAATTACATCCAAAACATTTTTAGCTTAATAGTAATTATATATATCCTACTTGCTTAAAGAACTTGGTTGAGCCAATGAGACATTTTAGTTCCCCTTGGTTTTCTTAAAACCATTTCGAAAATCTTGGAAGTCAGCCCGCAAGGAAAGAAGGAAAAATGAGAAGTTAGTTACTTCCATTTCCTAGTAATATTTTTTTTATGTAATCCGTTTCCTAGTTTCTTTTCCTTGTTTTTTGCTATATATTCATCTTATATTTTTGAAAATAAAATAGGGAAATATGCATATTTATTCAATACCAGGAGAAAGAAGTTATGTTTAATTTTTTTAACAAAAAAAACCTAAGTACTAATACAAAGATTGAGACTGTATAATAAGTTGGGTAGGTGTTGATGATGGCTTGAATTTACAAGTCTATCTTTGTTGACATCTGCAAAGAATTTTACTAGCCTTCCAAGATTTATGCAACAAAGAATTTTACTAGCTTTTTATAAATAGTAATATAATATAAATACCTAAATTTTGTTTGAGACAATTTAATTGTATTTGATTTTGATTTTGATTCAGACGTATCTATTTCAAGCAATTCGAATGTTTTAATTTGACTGGGTTTATTTTGGTTTCGTATTAAATATTTAAACTCATTTTATATGGATTGAAGATTGATCTAATTCAATTTTGGATCAATGGGCTTGAAGGTTCAATAGGGGTCCGAGTCAATTTTTTCAAGTCCAAAGTCTAATTCTAAGTCCAAATTCAATTTTGAAGCTCAATATAATTTTGGATTAAATTCATGATATAAGCCTAAAGCCCAAAAGCCAATAAAGGCTCACATTTAAATTTTAAAGCCTAAAACCCAAAATTTGAGAGAGAGGTAAAATTTTTGCAGCCTTCCCCTCACTTTCCCTTTCCTTAATTTGCCTTACTACTTCTAGCTTTTCCTCTTTTTTTTTTACCACTATTTGTACCTTTTTTACTTATAGCATAAATTCATCAAAGACACAATGATAAAAAAAATCTAGTAGAAATTAAGATTAGTTGCCATTGTTACATTATGCAACTATAGTATAAAATCTTTAATCAAGCAAAGTCAAGATTTTTTTTAAATTGAAAATGGAGCTGAAAAGAATCCTTGGAAACAATAAAAGATGCACAGAACTTCACAAGCCAGATGAGGACATGAACTTGAAATAAAAAAAACAACTCCCATTCGACATTCACAAGTATAACCTCTCAAACACCAAGCAAAATACTAGCATTCACCATTCAAAAACATTCGTTCGACTAAACCCATTAGACCACCATTATCACATCCATCGTCACTGCCATCTATAAACACCTAATTTTGTCTGGACATAATTCAATCAGTTGTAAGGTTTTTAAAATCCGATCCAGTTCAAATCCAACATTTTTTAAATTTTGACAAAATTTTAAAATCAAATTTGAAACCAATTTGACCCAAATGCTTTAAGGTCAAACTTGATCAAACAAAGTTAAATTTGATCAAAATCAATCAAACCGAATTGAACTCAGGTCAAGTTTTTAAAATTCACAACCAAATAGAATTAATCAGTTTTGGGAACAATATTTATGATTTTAAAGCACTGAAAACTTTGATTGCACTTCAAGAAGGGTAAAATTACTAAAATGTCATTCAAGGGAATTTTTTTTGTAATTTGACCTTCTTAAGTTGAAATTTTCTTGAAAACTTTCAAATCACATTTAAATATTATTTTATGATTTTTGATACATCAAAAACCCTTATCACACCTTGAGAGGTGTGAAATTATCAAAATACCTTTAGGGATATTTTTGTAATTTAATTTTTTCAAGGTCGATTTTTCGTAAAACACTTTAGATCATAGTTTTATATTATTTCAAATTTTTGGTGCATTGAAAATCTTGATCACACCTTGAAAGGTCTAAAATTTTGAAAATACCCTTATAGGTATTTTTGTAATTTGATCTACCTAAGATTAGTTTTTACGAAAACTTTTAGATCATAATTTCATATAGAATTTTTGGTGTTTTAAAATCACAAAATTGAAAAAAAGATCATGGTTCTCCAAGAAAATTGCATTAAAGGTGAAAACTTTCTAATGAGGTAAATGGTCTTTTCACATGGTTCCAGTAGCATTAAAAATGTAATTTTTAGCCATAAAAATTTTGAGACATGGAATGATCTTGATGGGCTAAATTCAAGGGTGAAAGGCAATTCTTTGCAAAATAAACAAGAGAGAAAATAGAGGCATTAGATGGAAAATGGATCTAAAGACTTGCATGTATTTTACATGAGATATTTATTCATCTTTTAGGGCTAGAAGGAAAAAGAAGGTTGCTGAAAATTGATGGAAAATGAGGGAAAAAAGAAAGAAAAATTAAAAAAATTAGAAAAGCTTATGAAGGTATAATTTCTACTAGTTTTCTTATATCATTTCATATCATTGTTCATAGTTTTCATATTATTTATCTTTTAATTTTTCTATTTTTATGAGAAAATTTATAGTTTTTTTATCTCTTTAAATTCAAGCTTGATCCAAGTTTTTAACAAACTATCAATAGTTATGTTTTGAAGTAAGGAAGAATAAAACAAATATCAAAATTCACCATTAACAACCATTAAGAGGTTCGGCCAAGCATTGCTCCACCATGGCTGAACCTCTTCTTGATTCTTCTTAAATGTTTTTCTTGCTTGCAATAATGTTCATGAATTATTTGAGTGTTATTCCAAATGTTTAATGCATGTATGATGGTTAGTTTAGTAATTTGTGTGTAGTGTTTGGCTAAGTATGTATGTTTTCATGGTTTCTTCACTAGTTAGTTTATTCCATATATTTAATGCATGTATGATGGTTAGTTTAGTAATTTGTATGTAGTGTTTCGCTAAGTATGTATGTTTTCATGGTTTCTTCACTAGTTAGTTTATTATATGTTTGAAAAACTTCCTTTTATGATGAAAATGCCTATACATTAAGTTTAATTAGTGTTTGATGCATGATTTAACTAAATAAAATGATGGATGATTGTGGTTTTACCATAAGGGTATTGGGCCAAGCCATTCCCATGCTTGGCCGAACCTTTCATCCATGAATGATGGCCATATATTGCTTGTTTCATATATGTTTGCTTGTGTTCTTGCTTTGTTCTTCAAGTTTTTTATGTGTTTGATCAAATTTCCAAGGAATAAGAATGTTAGATTAGTAGACTTTTTAGTGATTTTGTATTATTTGCATGTGTTTTGATTCAAAAACCAAAAAAAAAAAAAAAACATGTCTATTTTTTTTAAACCCTTGCATGTATATTTAGTTTGTAATATATTTGTAAATATACATGAGTTTGTAATATGTTTGTTTTCATACATGTTCTATGCATTAAAGTTTACATTTTCATTAATGACATTTTGGTAATTTTTGCTACATGCATTTCCCATGCATCAAAGTTTGCATTTTAACCAATGCCATTTTGGTAATTTTGTTACATGCATCAAAGTTTGCACTTTTATCAATGGCATTTTAGTAATTTTGTTATTTGCATTTTCCATATAAACCCCAAATGTAAACCCTAAACCCTGAACCTTAACCTTAAATTCTAAACCAAATCCTAAACCCTAAATACTAGACCTAAATCCTAAACCCAAACCTTAACCATAAAACTTAAGCCCTAACCCTAACCCTAAACCAAAACTTAAACCAAAACCCTAACCTTAAACCCTAAAACCAACCCTTAACCCCAAACCTTAAACCAATATCTAAACTCAAAAACCAACTTGATCCAATTCATGCATTGCATTTCATTTTTTTTTATTGTTACATGCATTTTTTAATTGTCATGCATTTCATATTTTATCATTCATGTTTGATAATCATGCATTCATCACATATTATTATGTTCTTGCATTCCGTGTATCTTTTTTATAAATGAAGTTTTTTTAAGAAAAAATATTTTTAAATAAGATGGCATATCAAATAAATATAGCCTTTGAGATCTGATCTAAATATAGGAAGACTTTCAATAACTATCATTTAAGCGAGGTATCATCTCGGTTTTTATGGGGCAATTTGAAAATTTTTAAATTAAAAATATTTTTGAAGCTCTACCTAAATATAGAAGAGTGGAAGAAGTGTCATGATACTTAGAACTTTTTCATTTTAATAAAAAACATAAATAAATTATTTTGCTTTCCAAAATAAAAAAATAAAATGATTTACTTTCAAAAGAAAAAATGAAAATTTGATTTTTGGAATAAATAAAGGAATTAGTTTATAAACATTAAAATGGGACCATCTTTACCAAAATATAAGGATAACATTCAATTAATTCATATCGTTTTCGACGGATGCTATGGGGTAGCTAATCCTTTC